CCCTTCCTGGGCCCTGCCGAGCTGCCCGCGGCTGTCGTGCTGAGCCAAGAGGAGCTGCGCCGCAAGACCCTGGTGCTGCTCCAGCTGCTGCCCAGAGACGTCCTCCTGCTCCAGGTAGGGCCCTGCAAGAGGCCGGGGGGGGGGCCTTGCTGCCGCTGCCTGGAGCCTGGCTGGGTTGGGGGAGCCGCTTCTGGCTCTGCAGGGCAGCCAGGCTCCATCGCCCCTCTTGAGGGGTCTCGCCCCCCCCCTCCCGGTGCCCTGATCCCCCATTCTGCGTCCCGCCGGGCCCAGTGCTCTGCGGGGGGGGGGCGTGCTGACTCGTTCGTCTCCTCCCGCAGCCCTGCCAGTCGGTCTCTTGCTACAGCCAGGAGGTGCTGGACAAGCTGATCCAGTGTGGGCTGCTGGTCGCGGAGGAGGTAGGTGAAGGACGCCGGCCATAATGTCCCTGCTGGCCGGGGCCGAGTCCAGCCCCTGGTCCCGCCACCTGCCTGCCCCGAGCTTCCCAGGGCACGGTCGCCCGCCTGCAGGGCAATCCTCCATTCTGGGAAAGGTGACCCCCGGGAGACCAAGTCCTTTGGTTAGCCACGGGGCCCGGCGTCCCCGATCTCTGCTGAACGACGTGCCCCGCCAACGGCCACCCACTTCGGTCTCCCCCGGCCCTGCCCGACGAGGAGACGGCTGGTTAGCATCTGGGGAGCCATGGATTGAGAACCCACCAGTGGCTGACTCTGAGGGGAAGATGTGTCCTGGTTCCCGGGCTCTGACATGGGGATGGGATCTGGAGCTGGCACCATCTTGGCAGGAGTTTGGAGCCCCAGGTCTCTTTCCCCCCCCCTCCCCACCCGGCGTGCATGCCGGGTGAGCTGTGCCCAGAGGATTGCCAGCCCCCAGCCGTTCGGAGTTGCCAGCCCCGAGGGCTCAGGGCAGCCGGTTTCTCCCCTAGACCCCCAGCGAGCGTCCGGCCTGTGACACCGCCCGGAGGCGCTTCTCGCAGAAGCTGCTGTGGAAGGAGATGGAGGACTTCAACGACAGCGACAGCGACTACGACGAGGACACCGGCAAGCGCTGCTTCAAGGTACCGCCCTGCCCCAGCTCCCCTCGCCGCGCTGGCGGGGATCAGGCTGCCTGGCGCCAGCACCTCCTCCATCAGCTTCCTCCTGGGGGAGCAGGGGGCCCTTTCTCCTGTCTCGTTCCGCACCTGAGGGGCCATCCTTCCTACCCGTCTCCAAGGAAATCGCCTGCCCAGATGGTCATTGCATCTCGCAGCCTGCCCGGGAGGTCTCCCTACTGCAGCTGGGTAAACTGAGGCACAGCTGCGGGGAAGGGACTCAGCGAGTCGGTGGTAGAGCTGGGACTAGAACCCAGAAGTTCTGAATCCCAGCCCAGCCCTCCCCTTCCGACCATTAGATCCCACTGCATCTCCCAGAGCTGGGGATAGAACCCAGGAGTCCTGACTCCCAGCTTTACCCCTCTCTGGGCTGTCAGTTCCCTGCTGCTGGGGGAACACGTTCTCCTTTTGGTCTGGCGGCACGTGGGAGGGGATCTGCCGCCCTCCCTCCTCAGCCCCATTGTAAGAGAACATCAAATTATCATATTAATTCCCGCTCCTATTGTTTCCCCCGCAATCGCACGCCGGAGCTCAGGTTCACAACCTGTCTCTTGAAAATGCCAGCTGCGTGGGCCGCTCCTCCAGACAGGAGCAAAGTTCTCTGTAATTCACCGGCGGGCGGGGGGCCTGAGAATGGGGCCCTCTGAACTCGTCTCACTTGTGCACAGGCTGCGGGAGCCTGTTGCCAAGCATCTGGCACTGCAGCACCATCTTCTGGTCAGCCGGAGGCTCTTTCCCGTGTGTGGATCCAGCGGCTTTCCCGACACAGGGAGGTGTTACTGAAAATGCCAGGCTAGGAGCCAGGGCGAACGGGACCAGGGGCTGCCCCAGTTCAGATCCACCCGGGTGACTCCTGCCCTGGGCTCCCCCCCGAGCCCTACCTCTGCCGTCAGGGGTCAGGTGATGCGGACACCGAGAACAGAACCCCGCAAACAGACAGATGGGGTGGCCCCTGGGGCAAGATTCAGACCAGCCTGAGCTGGGCACATAAGGTAAATAGGGGGTGAGGGTCAACCCTGACCCACAGCCCTGGGCTCCCCATAAACAGCTCTACCAATGCCCCTTAATCCTGACCTGCCCCCCCCCCCAATACCCCTCCCCTGGGCTCCCCCATTGCTCTGCCAGTGCCCCATAGTCCTGATCCCAGCCATGGGCTCCCCTGGAGCTCTGCCAGTGCCCCTCAATCCTGCCCCACAGTCCCCTGCTGTCCCTTCCCTGTTGTGCGTGATGTTGGCAGCTCTCCCCTTGAGAGGAAGTTGAGTCCCACCAAACTCATTTCACGTGTGACTAGCAGAACCCCGTTCCAACGTGGACCATTCAGCACCCCCCAGGTCCAGCCCGGCTCAGCCCATGCATCTCTTCTCCCCCCAGATAAGCCAGCTGGACAACTGCCCTGATTTCTTCCTCTTCCTCTGCGGCCTCCTGGGCCCCCTGCTGAAGACCTTTGAGAGAGCAGCTGCCTTCCTGGTGGAGTCTGGCTGTCCTGAGCTAGGTATGACCCCCCAGTGCATTCACCAGTGTGTGTTTAGCAAAGCCAAAAGGCTGAGCTTACCCACTAGGCCTGTAAGATCCCAGGGGAATCTCGCTGCGTGGGGTCAACGAGAGCAGAGACTTGGGGCCCATCCCCCTGGGAACAGCCTGATGCCCAAGAGCAGTGCTGTCAGGGTGTTGGGTGCAGCTGAAGGGGGGGCTCCCTGCGGAACCCCAAACAGCGCTGGGCATGTGGAACGTGGCGCCTTAACGGCTGAACTCTCCTAGCCCCGGGATCTGCCACCAGGGAAACTGAGGCATGGAGCAGGGACATGCCTTGCCCTAGGTCACACAGCAGGGCTCAGGACCCACGCCCATGCTGGTAGAACAGCTGCTGCACTAAGATCCTTTGGGGCGCATGCTGCTCCAGGGAGCTTCCTGGCTGTGCACGTTGTATGGAGATGGGGGGTCTGAGCTGGTGGAGAGGGGACGCCGGTGTAAATCAGTGTAGCCCTACTGAGGTGCGAGCTGCCCCAACGTCCCCAAGCTGAGGATCAGCCCCAGAACGGTGCAAGGGCCCCTCCCACGCTCTCTGCTTGCCTCTCCCAGAGCTGGAGTATGTGGAGAAGCTGCAGCGGTTCCTGGTGAGGAAGGCGAGAGAGGACGGCTCCTTCGGTGAGTCTGGGGCAAATTTACTGAGATCCAGCCTCCCTGTGCTGCTGGGGAGATGCTTCCGCGCCCAGTGTCCTCCTGGGTCTAACCCCTTCCTCACCAGGGCACTCTCACCCTGCTAGGGAGCCTTCATCCCGGTGCTGGCCTCTTCTTCTGGGGTTCTGTGGCAAATCAGATCAGGAGCCAACTCAGGGTGCTTATCTGCCTGAGCAGGAAGAGCTGGGTGTTTTCTGCCCCCTGCTGGGAGCAGGGGGAACAGCACCAGGAATACTTCTGTTAGTCTTAAAGGTGCCACAGGACCCTCTGTTGCTAGCACCCGGAAGTGACAGGCTTCTCTGGGCACTTGTCAAGAAATCGCTCTCCCAGCTCCTCCTGCTGCTAGGATGGAGCTGCTGGTGGGCAAACACTGAGTTGGACTGTAAACCTGCAGGGGGCAAGAAGGAATGGCCTTTGAGCCACGGTGTTATTGGGCAGGGAGGCAGCCCCGTAGACGGGGTGAGTCCTGTCTTCCCTCCTGCAGCCCGCAGGGGCTTTTCAGGACCACCGCGAGGGCAGTTGAAATGGGGTTTTAGTGCCACAGGTTGTGTTGTAGGACCCAGAACAGCACTAAAGGAGTAGGAGGGGGCCCGGCCCAAACAACTGCAGGAGCTGGGTGTGGTGGGAGGGTTGCTTGGGGTTGGTACGCCATGTGCTGTGCCTGATGTCCTGCCCCTCACGTTACCGTCTCTTTCCAGTGTGTGCAAACAGGAGCCTGGCTCTGAGCTCTGTCCGGACCTTCAAGGAGCTGGGGGTGAGTGTGCCCCACCTGTCTGTACCCTGGTGATCCTGGGGAGGTCAGTTCAGCCCATCACACCTGTTTAGATGGCAGATGGGCTGCTCTCTCCCTCCCCCACAGAGACATGCAGTCCTGCCTGTAACCTCTCCTCAGCCTGACCCACCACCTGGCTGGACAGGCAGATGCCCTCTCTCCTTGTGCAGCCCCAACCCCTTCCTGGGTGGAAAGTCAGGGTTCCTCTGTCCCTCTCCTCCCCCAGGTGCTGAGGGAGCAGCCAGGCCCAGCGGGGCCCATTCTCCACCTCTCGGAAACCTTCAGCACCAAAGGGAACCAGGAGCGACTGGAGAAGTTCATGGGGCAGTTCACCTCCAGCTAGAGCAGCTCGGCAGGGGTGAGGAACTATCCTGCCACCTGTGGTGACTGTTTCAAAAACCCCCTTCTCCAGGATACCATCGAATGTCTCTGGGCTGGGGGTGGGATCCACCCACAGCAGCACGACCTCTGTTGTTTGAGTTGGAGATCAAAATAAATCTATTCTTGGTGCCTGGGTCTCCAGCTGCTTTTAGTGGACAGGCTCATGCCAGCGGTTCCCCCCCCCCCCCTCTGAAAACCAGCCATGGTGGGCTCACTGTTGCTTCCCTCTCAATGGTACCACGCCAGCTCTCCTTTCCCTGGTGTTACTAGAGAGATCAGCGCGGCAGGGCCCACCAGACTGGCAGAATCCTCTATGCGAATGCAGCCCCAGGATGGGGGAGATTCAGTCTGGGGTTGCACTTTCCCCATCCCCACTGAGCAGGGCTGGGAAGTGCAAGGATTTGCCTTGCTCTGCGTCTAATCCTAGGGGAGCAGCCCTCTGTGCCCCTTACCCCTTTAACAGCAGCTTGGCACCATGATCCCCCCGCGCTGGCTGTTTGAATGGATTTCACACCGAGTGTGCTGATGGGTCGGAGCACAGACTGCGCCCTCATGCACCTCAGCTACCAGGGCTGGCCCTTCAGCGAGAGCTTTATTGCAAAATCCACACACCGTTGAGTGGCACGATTAGCCGAAGGCCATTAAAGTGCTGCACTTGCCAGTGTCCATGATCAGCTCCTGTGCCCTGGGGACCGCGCTGGTGGGGCATCCTCAAACGACCTTGTTTCGGAGGGCTCCTAGCTGGTCAATTTCACACTGCACCACATCTCCTCTCTGCAACGCAGGGGAAGCAGAGTCACATTTCCATTAGGAGCTACACACTGCCACAACCAGCTAAAGACTGTAGCCCCCCCCCTTTGCCCCAGCCCCTATGGCAGAACCATAGACCAGGGTAGGATGGTTGATGCCTGATCTCTGTTACCTAGTTACAAGCGACTGACCAGTGCTACAGCAGAACCCCGGGGTTAATGTCTCCCCATCTACCCCCCAGCAGATCAGACATGCTCCTAGCCTTGCGGACCAGAACACAGGGTGGGACTGACCCCCTCATGCCTAGAATAGACAAACTGCAACTGCTACACAAAATCCAGGGGGGGGGGGGGGGGGGGGGGAAAGAGTGTCTGTCATACTCTGAAACCCTGGGAGCTGGATGAGTCACATATAAAATAATGGACAGAGTGACTGGAGCCTCCAGCAGCTCCTAAGCCCCCCCAGGGATGTTTTGACTGTAACTAAAGGGGCTAAAGCCTGCATTAAAAAAGCAGCCTAAGGGGGATACCCAGTCACAGTGAGGTGCACCCCCTAGTGACTGCAGGAGCTCAGACACTTATTCCACAGCCCTAGGAACCCGCTGGCTCAAAACAAGAGGCTGGGCTGTCTCCCTTACTGAAATCTCTGAGCCTAGTGCTGCAATTCCAGCTGCTCAAGCAAGTCCTTGAGTCTGTGCCGAGCGCTCCGGACAGGCACCACAGTCGGCCCCTGTGGCTCCAATGGCAGGACCGGGGTCCACATGGGATACCAGCTATCTCCTGTCACTGCCCTTTGCTGGGACCCAGCCTACCCCCTGCTGTAGGGAGTCCGGATCGCTAGTAGCAGCTTCAGCTCTTGCTGCGATTCCCCAGAACTGACGCTCACCTTCAGGAACACAGGGGGCTTCCGGAAAACTCCGGTGCCTGGGGGGGTCCCGGTGAGGAAGACGTCTCCTGGGTACAGCGTGATGAACCTGCCAGGAACCAGGAACAGCCCATCAACAGGGCATCCTGGCTCAGCGCCTCCACCACAGCTGGGGATAACGCTGGGCTCCCAGCACGCACCCCATTCGGGCCACGATTGTTCAGACGTGCCCAGATACCTGCCAGGGGCTGTGACTACCCCATGCATAGATCAGCGCTAGGGATCGACCCCAGGCCCTCTGGCTCCCAAAGCACAGCCACTGCTAAGGACTAGGGCTAACAATGGGAGGCAGCCATGACCCTGCCACTGGAGAGGGGCAGAGAACCACACTGGGTTACCACAGCTCCCAGGAACAGAGTTGTTTGCTGCCACCAGGGCAGGGGAGGCACCTACCGGGAGACCCACGCGACCAGCGCCTGCGTTTTGAAGATCATCTGGTTGGTGTTACTGTCCTGGACGAGCTCCCCGTTCACTTTGCAGCGGATTCCCAGCTTGTGAGGGTCTTAGAGAGAGACAGAGCAGTCAGGTCTGCAAAATAACTGGGGAGGATGGGGCTGTTCCCTGTTATGCAGAGGAGGAGGTGGGGATCCAGGAGAGGAAACCTCAGATCACAGGAAGGATCCCAATTTGTTGGACAAACTGTATCAAAGGGGCTGCCGTTGCTCACCTCTGCACTGCAGCCACCTCTGGGCTGGAACGCAACAGCTGTTTTGACAGCTCGCTGCAAGCCGGAGAACGGGGTGGGCCACAAAGCGAAGGATGCTGGTCCAGTTGCGGCAGCAGGAGGAAATGTAGGGCGCAGAAGGTAATTGGAATTGGGCTGGGACACCGGGATTCCTGCTGGGAACAGCATCCTGCGTGCATCAATGAGCACGGGTTGCCCCCTAGCGCCGTGCTTGGGGAACTGGTTCAGTAATAACTGGGGAAGGACACCACGTACTGAGCCACCCGCCCCAGTCCCAGCAGCGCCCTGGGATTTAGAGGGCTCCTATGCAAATAGTGAGCAAAGCCGACCACAGGTGGCCTGTGAGCTCCCTCGCATACCCAGGGCAGTACGACTGCAGCGATGGAGCAGGTGGGAGGAATCAGGGATGAAGGCAGTTCATGCATCACCCCAGGAGCCTCTGCAGCAGGAGGGCAGCTGTGAGGGCAACCCAGCCCTCCCTGTGCCACCACAGCCTGGCAGGCGGGAGAGACTGAAGGGCCGGACCTCTACCTGACACACAGTCCTTGGTGACAATGGCAGGGCCCAAGGGGCAGAAGGTGTCAAAGGATTTCCCCAGGATCCACTGCTTCCCATTCCTCTTCATCTGCCAGTCCCTGGCGGTGACGTCATGGGCAACCATGAATCCCACAATGTGATCCATCGCGGCTGACTCCTGGGCGGGGAGGGAAACGGGAGGGGAGTCGCCACACAGCCGAGCCACTGCTGGAGAGACTGCAAACGTGGGGCTGCCCGACTCCTCTGGGCATGACGGTGCAGAATTAACACATGCGCCGCCCTGACAGAGAGGGACGCCCTCTAGTGGTGAAAAGGGAGCACGCTCAGTTCAATCACCAGCCTGACAGCTGCACTTGCCAACCAGGGGGCCATTTAGTGCCAGCCGTGGTGGCTTTTGCCGCATGCCCTGGACTGAAGTCACCAAACAGATGGCCCCGTTCAGTCGGGGATGGGTTTGAAGTACCAAGACCTGAAGTGGCTCCACAGTCCGTTCCCAGCTCCCTTAGTACCTTGATGTGCTTCCCTTTCTTCCCGATGACAAATGCCAGCTCCACCTCCCAGTCGACTTCCTAGAGAAGGAAACAGGCAAGTCTGATCTCTGCCCCAGTCCAGCAGGGCACAGAGGCAATCAGGGCTAGGGTACCATGGGGAGAGGCAATTAGAGATGCCCCAGATCACTGTTCCCACAGCTGCGAAACGCCACTGGTGATATGGCAGGTGGGCAGTACCATCTCAGTGCAGAGACACCCCCCCTTATGGCCCAGCAACATGGTATCTCCCCTAAGCAAGCTATTTGGATGTAACTTTCAGGACTGTTGGCGTCTAGGTGGCTTGTTACCCAACACAGCCAGCAGGAGGCACTTGCACAAATAGCAGCAACCGTCCTTCCTAATTTCTTAGTGATGGATCTTTGGATTAAACAGCTCTCGAGGCAGCTGGCAGCCAACTCAAATCTGGGCCCACGCTCTACTGACAGCAGCATTCTCCGTGGCCGGAGTGGGCACGCTCGGTTTTTGCTCCCACAGTTCTTTAGCTGGAGCCTTTAATAGACACATCCGCGGGGGCTGGCGTGCAGACGGGTCTTGGCTGAAAGGTCCCCGCAGGCATGACAGGAGGAGCAAGGGGTATTTACTTGGCTCTCGGCTGGGTGGATGATCTCGTCGTAGGGGCCGATGATGGAGCTGGTAAACTTGCTGAAGATGATGGGCTCCTCGGGGATGTTTATGTTCTGCTCCCGGCAGTGGTCTGCGTAGTTCAGCCCCACGCAGATCACCTTCCCCGGGTTGGTTATGGGGGCCAGGAGGGTCACCTGATCACGTGGCAGGATGTGCTGGCCAGACTCCTGAGCCCTAGAGACAGAGGAGGGAAGGGATAGCTGAAAGGGATGCTGAGAGAATGGGGGAGGCTCTTCATTGGGGAAACCAGGGACGGCGGTGTAGTGGTCAAAGCAAGGCACTAGGAGAAGTGGATCCCCTGGGTTCTACTCCCAGTTCTGGCATGGATTTCCTATGTAGCTGCAATTCCATGCCTCCCTGTGCCTCAGTTTCCCTCCTGTAAAATGGGGCTCACACCTACCTCTTGCATAGACACTGCCTTGAGAATCCTGCACTGAGAATGACCAGTCAGAGCGTGAGGCCAGGACTAGGACAATCCCAGCTGTACACTTCCACGCCTTACCTAAACAGCTTCCAAACCCAGGAGAACAACTGCGCCCCCCTAGTGCCCATCAAAGGGCATCTCATCCCTAGCTCTAAAAGCGCTTTACGAGGAAGAGGTTCATTATTCCCTTATTTTACTGCCGGGAAACTGAGGCATGAGGCGGGGAAATGCCATGCGCTGAGTCCATGGCAGAGCTGGGACTAGAACCCAAGGCCATAGGCGCCAACTTTGTGGGTGCACCTGCAGCCCCCTTATCAGTGCCTCCCCACAGCACCTCCTGCCTGCCACAATCAGCTGTTCCAGGGCATGCAGGGGCGGCAAGGGCCTGCAAAGATGCGGAGCAGAGGAGGCAGCATTACTGAGAGAATCTTAACTTCTCCATTCCCTGCTTTCTAGTCAATGAAGCCCAGACCTTCAAAGGTATTTAGGCACTTCACTTTCACTGAAATCATTGGGTGGTAGGTGCCTAAATACCTTTGAGGATCCGGGCTTAACTCTGTAACTCTTAACACTGCGCAGACAGCGAGCCCCAGGCCTCAAGCTGGGTTCATCCACCTCTCATGCATGGCTCCACTGCCCCCTTTGGTTTTTTATTAAAGCCCCCGTTGGCTTTGACTCTCTGCATTCTGATGCCAGTCAACAGCCCGGCGGCAGGTGGGGGGGAGCCCACAAGGGTGCCAAGCGGCAGGGGACCCAAGCACCAACGCACAGGAAGGGGACAGCCCCTGGATAGGGAGCTTGTTAGCTCGAGCGTCTGCTTGGCCTTTCAGGACAGAAATGGCTTCTAGCACCGCCTGCAGGGTCGCTGGAGATCCCCACTTACCTTCTCGCTACGGCCAGTGCTGCGTCCCCTACCTCCAGGAACTCTCTCATCCTCTTGGGAAGGGAGGGGTCGAAAGCATTTAAATCAATCACGTTGCCTCCATCTTTCTCCTCCAGCCCAATCCTGGGCCCATCCGAGCCGGTTTGAAACTGGACCAGCCTCATAGCCCCAGCTAGATGGGAAACGCCCCTGGACTCTGTCCCGCCCCAGCTCGTGCAGCTGGGCAGTCTCCAGCTCAGTCTCAGACTTGCTGGAAGGGCTCTTAGGACCAGCACCGGCATCAGATCCTGCAGGAGAGAGACAAACGAGCGTGGACAGATCATCCGCGCACTCCAGTTGGGTCTCTGCCCAGCAGGGGTAACTATTTTTTTTTTTTGGTCAAGGTCCAAATTCTTGATCAAAGTATAGTAAACAGAGAAAATAAACTAATGATGATAATAAATAAATAAAAAGATGTTGGGGTCCATCCAAAAGCATCTGGCAGTCCAGATTTGGCTCGCGGGCCGCCTATTAACTACCCCAATGGAAAGTAACCAGAACCTGGACTCTCCCTCTACCACATGGGGGAGGGAGGGTGGGTAACTGGTCACGCACAGGGCTCAAACCCTGGGACACCCAGTTGTTCGCCAGGGTCACGCAGCTGCATCTGGATTCCCACAGAGCCAGAGGCTCGGGCTGTGACCCCGATAGTGTCACAGGGGTGAGGGGCTGCTCTGTGAGGTCGGAAGGGGGAGCCGAGGGCGGTGGGGGGGGCCCTCTGTGAGGCCGAGGGGGGGGCAAGGGAGATGGGGGGGGTCACTCTGGGAGGCCGAGGGGGGGCGAGAGAGGTGGGGGGGTCACTCTGGGAGGCCGAGGTTGGGACGAGGGAGGTGGGGGGGTCACTCTGGGAGGCCGAGGGGGGAGCGAGGGAGGTGGGGGGGTTCACTCTGGGGCGGGCCTGGAGCCCCTGCAGGGGCTGGATCTAACCGGACGTGGCAGGGCCGGAGCGAGCGGAGGCTGGGGGGGGGCGGGGTTAACGGGCACTCGGCGGGCCCAGCAGGTTCGGGGGGGAGGGGGAGGGGGAGGGGGAGGGGGAAGGAAGCGCCAGGCCGCCCCAGCCCCGCCCCCGTTACCTGCCCAGGGCCTCTGGGGTGGCTGCTGCCCTGGCTGCACTTCCTGCGGTCGCTCGCTGATGCCGTCACAAAGCCGAGCCACGCCCCTGTCATCTGACTGTGACGTCCTCACAGCCGTCGCCTGTAGGGGAGCCAATAAAAACCTAACTCTCCTCCTCTCGCAATAAGTGCGGCGGGGCACCCAACAACCAATCAGAGAGCGGCCAGGGCGGGACTTCACGCGTTACCACCAATAAACCGCTAGCCAATAAACCCCGCCCACTCCTCTATTCCCTCAGAGAGCGTGACTGGCTGTCACCATGACACCAAAGGCAAAGCGTGGGACAAGCCAGGCTGGGCGCCATGACACTAGGAGCAAAGCGTGAGGCAGGGCAGGCTGCAGGATGAGCCATCATAACTAGGGCACCAGTTACCTTGCATAAAGGTTGCCGTGGTTCTCCCCCGCCCCAGCAAAACCCATGGGCGCCCTCATCTGCAATGCAGAGCAGCTCCCAAATGGTGCCAATGGGCAGCAGCAAATGGGGGTCCAATGTGCTGCACCCCTTTGGCCTGACGTGCCCTGGCCCTGCTCATGGGGTCAGCAGTAGCAGCAGCTCAGCGCACGGTCTCTAATGCGGCCCCCTGTGGGCTGTCACTCTTAACCCCTTGGGAGAGCGCGGGCCCCCTCTGCTCCTCTCCCCAAAGCACGTGACTCCGGAAGCTGGGGCATGCCCCAGTGGCCAGGAGCTACACGGAGCCTGCTAGCCCTTCACACCCCCTCTTCACTGCAGGGCTGGAGAGAGCGGAACCTCCATACCCCCCCACCATGCTCCAGAAAACCCTCCTCCTCCCACCCCCAATAGTCCTTGCTCCCTACCTGTCATCTGCCTCTTCTCAGCCCCCAGCCCTGCCTGCCCCCCTGCCCAAGGCCGCCCTTCCTTCTGTCAACCATCCCCCCCTTTCCAGCACAATGGAAGGATAAAAAACCAGCAGCAGTTCGTTTAGCACCTAGCATGCGTCCATGACTGGGGCTCCTAGGAACCATAATTATAATAATAAATTAATAAACTAGGAGCATGGGGCAGGGTGCTGCAGGCGCGTTCCTAGCAAAGCGGGGCGGCACCGTGGGTCAGGACTCTCTCATCAAGGGTGACCCTTTCTGTCACGTTGTAGCGTCACTTCTTCCAAGCACAGAGTCCCACAGGAAAACGCCTGAACTTGTCCCAAGGCATGAATCAACCAGCCCTGCAAGGGCATCACCCGCTCAGTGCATGATGCTCAGCAGAGTTGTTCCATACCTCCAAGCTCCAGGGTGTCCAATACTCACACTCCATAACATGGCCCATCCCAAGTGCTGCTCTGGCATTTGCAGCCATGTAGCCAGCTGGATATGCAAAGAGAGGCCCAGGATAGAAAGCAAGAATGGAACCGTGTTTATGCTATCAGCTGTGTTTCATGGCACGGGAAGGATTTGGATACAGAAGCAGCTGGGGTCTAATGCTAGAGAAGGAAGCAAAATGGATGGGAGCCTCTTTTTTTTTTTAAGTTTATTTTATTAAAATATACAGTGACTGAATATCAAGTAGTTACAGAGAACAGGAACCGACGACAGTCTCCCCAGGTTGTGCTGTGAGGGTGGGCGTGAGATTAGGGGCACTGGAGTAAAGGCTACTGCTAGTGAGACATGCGGCCATTCCTTATACTGTACATATGTCAGGAAGTATCGAGTGCAAACTCACAGCCTCCGGGAGAGGGCTTAGGATAGAGGAGAGGGAGAGACGGCCGGAATTCAGAGCCTTCTTGGCAGTGGGAGACAGAAACAGACTGATCTGGGCCTTTGGGCACTGAGAGAGGTTGAGCGGAAGATGAGGACTGAGTCTGGGTGGTTAAAAGTCTGGATCCTGGGGCTAGTTCAGATCTGGGAAGTGAGGCTGGACTTGGAGGTAGTGGGGGATAAAGGTGGATCTGGTTGTATCCGAGGGGAAGGCCTGGGAGAAAGAGGCAGAGCCTGCACTAGTTTAAGCATCAGTGACAACTTCCACCAGGACACCTTCTCTTCCCCAACGTGTTTGGTGGACTCTTCCCCACTGCAGATCCAGGGACTATTTCTCAGGCTTGGTGCTCTTCTAACCAGAGACTGTTCCATCCCCAGCGAGGCAGGGTCATTCAATAACCAGACCCATCCAAGGTTACTAAAGGAACTGAAAGGGGAGTCTCTCTAGGGCACCTCATCTAGGGGATTTCTATTGGCATGGAAACAGATAGCCCCACAGCTCTGTGACTCTGACATGGCCAACAGGAAATCCCAGTGAGATGGAGCATCCAGCTACCTAGAAAGTTCCTCATTAGGGACTGTACTGACTTATCCCTGACTTGGATCTTGAGGATGACACCCTCTTGGTTGCAGAGCTACCAACCCACCTCCTCTTTTCCCTACCAAACCCGATGACCGGTGACTTGTCTAGCCCTACATGCGCTGATTTCCAGCTGGCTTTTCCAACTCTCTGGCCTCTTTCAAGACTTGTTCGCCCAGTGGCAGATCTCATCTCAGTCCCGGAAACAACATGTGTAATGCCTAAAAATAGTCACTTGTTAAAAAAAACAAAACAAAAAAAACAGTCCCTCAAACCAAACCTTGTCATTGTTCCCCCAGGGATAGGTGATATTTCACGCCCTATTTGACTTTCAACTGCAGCCTGGAGCTTTGGGCATATTCGTAAGTCACCGCCCGTCAGCTTTCAGTGTCACAGAAGAGACAAGATGGGTGAGGTAATATCTTTTACTGGACCAACTTCTGTTGGTGGGGAGGACAAGTTTGAGCTACACAGAGCTCTTCCTCTGTCTCCATGTACCTCAAAAGCTTGCCCTCTCCACCAACAGAAGTTGGACTTATAATAGGTTGTACCTCAACCACCTTGTCTCTCACACACCCTGGGACCAACGTGGTTACACAACACTGCCCATCCCACAGAATAACAGTTTTCCAGTGTAACCCTCAATTGCAGTCAACAGATATTTGAACCAGATCTGATGGAAATGACGGACCGGTGGAAAACAATGGAAAATTTCAGCTCCAGAACGTGGCAGCGAGGGCCCGTCTCCTCCTCCAGTTTGGAAGCGCTAGGGTATTTGTGCTTGTACTTCTGCTTCAGGAAATTCAAATCCTGTTTCTTTGTTGCAGATCGCCCCAGTTCCAGTCTCCTGAGTGAAGATACCTCGTTCTCCCCTACTGTTGCAGGTGGAGGGACATTCATTCTCAATGTGATTGGGGAGAAGGTGTGCTAGCTTCTTCCTTTGCTTCCCTTCTCTGGGGACGCTAGAAGGCTCTGTACACTCTCTAACATTCGCACACGATGTGGAACCTGCCTTAGAAATGGACGCTCTTGTGCTTTTAGAACTGAAGTTCTGGAGATGATTCCCAACAGCCAGTAATGTCTTCTATTCAGACGTCCACAAACAGTCCTCTCTCAGCTGAGACACATTCAGGCTCCAGGATCTTGGCCCAGGAGCTGCCTGCACATGGAAAAGTGGGGAGCAGGTCCTCAGCTGGTGAAAATTGATGGAGTTCAGTTGAAGTCAGATTTCGCAATGGGGGTATGAAGTCCGTGGAGTTATGCCAAATTGTGCCAGCTGAGACCTATTTCTTCTTCAGTAACTGCCTCTCCTTTTCCTGATGGAACCCAGTAACTGCCTCATTGCCAGGTTCTCACTTGGTGCTAGTGAGAAGAACTCCACCTCCCACATGCAAACGTCCTTTCCATCCCACTACCATGCGAGAAGTGCTGAGCTTAATCCACAAGGCTGGTCTCTTTCCCACAGGTAGTATTTGACGCTGTGCAGCGTTCCCTTGCTATATCCTAGGGGAGAGCTAGCCAATCCCCCTGCTAGGTCAGACAAACCCATGAAACCCAATCTCTTTCTGTCTCCTCTTGCCCTTCAAGTGAGAATCCGGTCAGTGTTGGGAGCAAACATGATCACGTCCTCTTTTATTTATTTTGTTGGTTTTTTTTTTTTGTTTTTAAATATAAAAAGAGTTTGTTTTTCTTCTCATAAAGATGTGTGTGTGCTTAACGAGAGAGACAGACAGAGGCGTCCGTCTGCGTGCAGGCCAGGAGGCAGCCGCGCGGGAGAGACGAGATCGCATTCTAGATCACATTCTCGAACAGCTGCATGGAGCTCATGATGTTCTCGTCCTGGAAGGGGAGGAGAGAGAAAGGCCAGGGCAATGGTTCAGAAACAACACGACCAATGGAGATTTGTGGTTCAGTGAATGAGGAAGCGGCTTGGGAGACAGGAGATTTGGGTGCTAATCTCAGCCCTGCCACTGGTCTGCTGTGACACCTTGGGCAAGTCACTGCCCTCTCTGTGCCTCAGTTTCCCTTCCCCGCTCTTTGGGGTTGTAAACCCTTTGGGGCAGGGACTAACACACATCTGTTCAGTGCCTACCAATGGGCAACTGGTTGGCTGGGGCCTCTTAATCTCTGCTGTAATAATAACAATATATCTGACAGAGGTGTGGTCTGTACATTAGACTGGCAGCTGTCAGAACTGGAGTTCTAATACTGGCCTACTGGGTGAACTTGGGAAAGTCCCGTCCTCTTTCTGTGCCGGTTTTCTCATTAGGGATAGTAGGACTGACCTGCTTTGGACAGTGCTTTGAGGTCTGCTGATGAAATTAGCTAAGGATCATTACTGAGTCAATGTGCATCATCTAGCACTGTTCATGTGCTACCATGCACACGTGGGCATGCTCCGTGAATTAAGTCAACCTGCTCTTAATGGAGCTTGGTCTGGTCTCCTGTCTCCCTACAACAGCTCCATCCCCTCTTCGCTTATGCAGTAAGTGCCTCCACGGCAGGAATCAACATGTGTAACCCCACAGCCCGCGTTACACAAGAGGAGAGGATCTGGACGGGGGGAAGCTGCAGTCAAAAGGGATTAGAAATGGTGTGACTGGAATTTGGAGGGTCAGATGAATCAGTGTCCTGGCTGGAGAATGCACTGGACAAATTGGTAAGATGGCTTCTAGGAAAGGAAGATGGGTAAGATGGGCTCTGAATCCTATAGAGGGGCCAGGGACGTGGTCAGGAGGAAGAGGAGGAGGGATCTGCAGGACCCGGAGGGCGATGAAGAATCCACAGCAGCGACCTGCTCACCTTTTGACAGGTCTCTAAAAACTCTTCGATTGTCACCACGCCGTCCCGATTTCTGTCCATTTTCTGAAACAGAAAAGCGACGCTCAGCAGGCGTGTGGGTGGCGGTCCCGGCGAATCTGTGCCTAGGTGCAAGAACACGCTCATCCCCCCACCCCTGCAACCACGCCGTGCCCGCCTGTACCCTAAAAGTCCACCTTCCTGCAATCCTGGCAGGCCTGGGAATGGCCTCTCTCTGCCTGCATTCTGCCCTGCGGCTGTGAGCCCCCATCAGGGACGCTCCTCCCAACCAGTCCTCCTTCCTACCTGCCAGCCCAGGCCTAAGGCCTGTAATGGAGCGGCCCCCCCGGGACCGGAGTGTGTCTGTGGCTTGTAACCCAATCTCAGTGAATCCTCATCAAGAGTCCCTAATGGGGCCCCTGCTCTGCAGCTGCCAGGGTCTGCAGCGGGATCGCCAGCCACGGCCCCGCCATCTGCCTCCTGCCCGCAGCCGTGTGGGAATCTGCATCTGCCCTTGTGTCGGTGAAGCTAATCCCACGCCCACACCCTTTCCACCCCGGCATAATTCCACACATGGGCGCCGACTCCGTGGGGGCTCCGAGGCTCAAGCACCCAGGGAAAAAAATAGGGGGTTTTCAGCACCCACCAGCCACACTGGTTCTGGCCCGGGCTCTCCACCGATCAGCTGTTTGGTGGGTGAAAGCTGTTGGGGGGCGAAAGAGGGAGGAGCGGCTGGTGGGCGAGGGGGATCTCGGGGGAAAGCGCGGAGGGGGGGCGGGAAAAGGCAGAGCAAAGGCTGGGCCTTGTGGAAAGGGGCGGAGCCTCAAGCAGAGTGGGGCTGGAGCCCCCACCGGGAAAAATACAAGTCAGGACCTGTGATTTCATTGTCTTCTGAGACACCACTCCTGAGTTACACCTAGGGTGACCAGACAGCAAGTGTGAAAAATCGGGATGGGGGTGGGGGGGGGTAATAGGAGCCTATATAAGAAAAAGACCCAAAAATCGGGACTTTCCCTATAAAATCGGGACATCTGGTCACCCTAGTTACACCAGGATAAGCAAGACCAGAATCAGGCCCTCTGCGCCCAGCTTTTGGAGGACTCAGGCCCATCCGCCCTCTGGCTAACTTGGAACCTATGGGTCTATGGGCCAGGCCCACTGCCCTGGTTAGCAAAAGGTTTCTTCTCCCAGACGCCTGCGAGCTGGCTTACCTGGAAGAACTTCTCCACGTGCTCTACGGGGGCATCGTCCCTGACGATCGGGTACGTGTAGCGGCCCATCATGTCGTAAATGGACTTCATGATCGCCAGCATCTCCTGGCAGAGAAAGAGAGAGACGCACTGAGCACAGGGAGGAAGCCCAAACAAAGCCCACCGCCGTCCCCCGGTCTCGGCCAGGTTCAGGTCGGCGTCAGGGCCAACGGAAAATCATGAGGGCGAAACAACGGGTTTCCAGGCAGGCCCTATGAGCTGCATCCCCGAGGAGGGGTTAACTCCATCGAGCAAGGCAGTGGGAGAAACCATTGCGCAGCGGGAGCCCGGGGATTTTAGGAGTATCCCAGCCATCCCCATTGCCCACTTCCAGGCAAATGGCAGCAGTACGGTCTAGTGGACGGAGCACTGGACTCAGGAGACCTGGGTTTAATTCCCAGCTCTGCCACTGGCCTGCTGGGTGACCTTGGGCAAATCACATCGCCGCTCTGTGCCTCAGTTTCCCCATCTGTAAATTGGGGAGATCGACTGAGGATAAGTGCTAGTTAACAGTCACCTATTCTCTTGTGCCGTGACCTTGTCGAGGTAAGCAGGGTCGGTCTGGGTTTTAGACGAGAGACCTCCGGGGAGCACCGTGGGGCTGCAGGAAGCGATGCTGAGGATTGAGGAGGGGATACATGCGTTCAGGGTCCCACGGTGGTGTTACGGATACAGCAGTGGGGTCCGCCATGCGGGAAGGGTGCTGTGGAGGTCTGTGCTGTTGGCAGTGCATCAGGACACAGAACCCATGTCCTGACTACGTGTGGTCATTAGTAATCCTGGGGCACTTCTTCCTAAAGCTAAGGATGGCTCCTTCACTGAACTAACCCCCGAGGTCTCCTGGCAGGCAGCGCTGCATCCTGCTGAAGCCTCTGGAGATGCAGCCAGTTGAGTCTTTGCCATTTAAGTCTCCTACAAACCTGAAGAGGCGGAGGCTGCGTCTAGATGAGGAACTGTCTCCTGCTTTGTTGCGCCATGTGGCGTCATATGGATTATTGCCTCAAGCCTGTCTTCACATATGGGACTTGAATGCACGTCCAAGGGGCAGAATTTTGGCAGTGCTTTTCCAGTGTCACAAACGTGGCCCCTATTATGGTACCACAGATCATAGCCAGGGACCAAATACTTCCATAAACTGGCTCAGTACATGATGTGAACCTCGCTTTGGTAAACAAACCACAAGGGAGCGGAGCATCGACACAGACAATGCTAGGGCAGGCAGTAGGCTCCAGATGCCTCGACCAGCAGCACCAAAGCAAACCGGTGCTCCTCACCAGCGTGGGGAAGCTAGGCCAGTAGGGTGGGGAGGAAGCGGCTTCCAGAGGCTCACAGCAGGAATATCCAGCACGGGAACCTACAGAATTCTGCTGACTCGTCACAAACTTGTCACACAGGACCAAGTCGTGGACCCAGTGATGTCAACGTGAGTTTAGTCATTGATTTCAGTGGGGCCAGGATGTGACCCACAGGAAGTGAGAAGCATCACAGGTTTAATGAGTAAACCAGGTCCATGTCAGGTAGCCATATGGTGCACCACCAAGAAAGCCACATTTGCTCATAGTTCTCTCCCAGCCTCGGACATATGGTCACGGCCTGGCCTGGTGATTTCAGCTGTTATTCTAGCCCTATGGGCTTCACGAGGGCTCACACGCTGATCTAGGGGAAGGGGGATAAAGTTGGGGTTTTATGGGCACATGGAAAGAGGCTGTCGCCTTGTCGAAGCCATGGAGGTGGCCCAGTGGGATCTGAGGTCTCACGTATGGCAAAACTCAAGCAGCCACTACCGCCAGCTGGAACAAAGCACCCGAACGGCCAGACCTTTTCAACCTCAGGTGCCTAAAATGAGGCACCCTGAAGTAGCCTGATTCATTCTCAGAGGTGCGGAGCGGCCAAAGCTTCCACCACCGTCAAAGGCAGCCTCAGGCCAACCCAAGAAACAGTTCCAAGAGCCCAAGAGTAGGCCCCCCAAGACGGAAAATGTCGGCCTAAACCGGGACTGGAGCCTGTCACTGCCTGGAGAAATAAATCCGCCCCCATTATGCTCCCCACCTCACTTGCGGAGGGGATCCCTCAAACCCAATTGTACCACTAAAACTTCTGAATCCGATCCATACCCGCAGGGATTCTGCCTCAGGGCCCCCATTTGTGCTCCTCACCCAAACTCTCAGCTCCTTCCCATCCCACGGGCTCCTGTCGTGGCGTACGGTCACACAGCAGGCCTGGCCTGCCTGTCTCCGAACCACTCCCACTTCATGGGGGTCTCTGAGATTGAACTTTATATTCAGATTCCCCCTGGGCCCTAGCTAGCACAGACACACACTCACGCTCCTACCGCCTTTGGAGCTCCCATCTCTGACCCAGACCCTCCGTAGACGTAAGTACCACACCTGCTGTGGGCTATGGTACTCTCACTCATTTCCACCTCCAGATGCCCCTGTCTCTGATACAGAGCCCCCACAGATTCACGTGTCTCCTTCCGATCCTCACGCATACCCGCAGCCACATTCCCCTCAGCCCAGCTGCAGGTACCTCCTTGGTGATGTAGCCGTCCTTGTTAATATCATAGAGGTTAAAAGCCCAGTTCAACTTTTCATGCACGGTCCCACGGAGCAAGATGGAGAGGCCGACGACGAAATCCTGGAACAGAGAATGAAGCAGAGACCTAGTAGGACAGGCCAACAACCCAGCACATGGACAACTGCAAACATATAGCAAGCAACCCCCCTCCCACACACACACACACCACCCTCCAACCAACGCCCCAAGAAAAAGAACGGTTTTGCAGCTGGTGCCTGGGACTTGCTCTTTAAAAGGGGGCGGCTCTTGACCCTTTAAAGGGTGAAGCGGAAATGTTATCGACCATGAAACTCTCCTGGTATTTTTCCTATCGATCCTGTTTCTGTTCTCGGCTGGATCTATTTTTAGTCGCCTCGCTACCCACCTGAGCCCGAAAGCCCCTCGCTGACAATAATAATACGAAAAAAACCCTCCTCTTTGGTTCCTTACTGCTCAGCGCGTCTGGCAGGGAGCACAAATAACCAAATGAAAATCATTAACTGCCTCTTCCCCAGTGTAGAAATGAAATAAAAGGCATTTTGGTGGCTGGCTGGCTGAGAGATTTGTGTTACATCCATTTACTAAATAAAAGAATGATTTTATATATACATACACACACACTCATTTGAGTGTGATCTTACATTTCTATGTCGTCTTTATTTAAAACAATTCCACAGTTCTTTGGACATTTGACTGTTTGGACACTATAGATATACATTGCATGTATGAATGATGAGGTAAACAAATGAGAAAAATCAACCCAAGGCTTTTTGATCTTATGATCCGCTAATTTTGAACGACTAACAGAACAGGGCATAATCTGGCTATATAGGCTTTATGCCCCACAATAAAAATACTGTCTGATGTATTTCCCTGTGCACTCTGCTCTCACATAGAGAGCTTAGCTGGCAGACTATATCTCAAGCTAAGCAGGCATGCTTAGAACCTCAGAGTTACGATCACCGGAGTTACGAACTGACCAGTCAGCCACACACCTCATTGGGAACCAGAAGTACACAACCGGGCAGTAGCAGAGACCAAAAAAACCCAGTAAATACAGCACTGTACTGTGTTAAATGTAAACTACTAAAATAATAAAGCGAAAGCAGCATTTTTCTTCTGCATAGTAAAGTTTCAAAGCTGTATTTAGTCAATGTTCAGTTGTAAACTTTTGAAAGAACCACCATAACGTTTTGTTCAGAGCAATGAATATATCCGAGTTCCGAACAACTTCCATTCTCCAGGTGTTCGTAACTCTGAGGTTCTACTGTACTAGGAGGGGAGATCGAGGGTGGCAGGACAGGTGCTGGTGACTCAATAGGGGCTTGTGTTCCTGAACCAACTCCTCAATAGTGCTACGGTACACAGCACTTCCAGGGGCGGTGCTCTCTCTGGACAAGATGTAATGCTGAGGCCCTGATTGCTTGTGATCATTAAAGGTGTGTTGGCACTTTTTGTATATGTATGAATCACTCCACCCAGCACTGAAATGCAGCCACCTCTGGGATTGAACGCAGCGGCTGTTTCACAATGTGCAGCAGCCACCGCACAACGCTTTAGGACAGGGAGCCAAGAATGAGTGGGCCTGATATTTCTCTCACTTAGGCCATTTTAACACCCCCCCCCCACACACACACACACACACACACCGATTTGAACAGAGTCATTTCGAATTTACAGCACTGAAAAGCAGAACCAGGCCCTCCGGGTCCATCTGAAGCTAGACAAATTCAGACTGGAAGGACGGCATCCATTTTTAGCAGGGAGGGTAATTAGCTATGGAAACAATGTACTAAGGGGCGGGGCGGATTCTCCATCACTTATAATTTTTAAGTCAGGTCTGGATGTTCTTCTAACAGATCTGCTCTAGAAATTGCTTTGGGGGAAGCTCCCTGGCCTGTGTTTTACAGGAGGTCAGACTGGATAATCGCACTGGTCCCTTCTGGCCCTGGCATCTGTGACCCTATAAAAGTTGCAGAGGGTGGGCTTGGGGGCAGATTTGGGGAGGAAGAATGTGAGTATCCAAGCTGGGAGTCTGGGCAGGACACCAGGGTTAATCCCCCTGCTCTCCTATGGGGAGTGTCCGGTGGGGTCCCCTTTACAAAGCTAAGAAGGGAAAAAATCCACGCAAGGGGCTGGAAACGGGCAGGAATAGAGACTTTGAGACCCTGGCTGGGGCAGTCTGCCCTGGAGGGGTGGAGAACTCTGATGTGACCGTGGAGCAGAATCAGGAGAGGAGGATGCGACTACCCCTACCCATTGGTCAATTTCTCCCCTGCTGCCCCCCTGTACATGGCAGAGGCCCCCCATGAATATCTGCAAAGCCACCACATTGTCCTCCTTTCTAATCTCCGTTCCCTTGAGTGTCCCCCCGCCACTCCTACCAGCTCCCTGCTGTATCCACCTGTTGTCTCGCAATTTATTAGGAGCCCAAGTCACGGCTCATGACCGGATGGTGCTAGGAGCTGTACAAACACAGAACAGAAAGTCAGCCCTCGCCCCCAGGAGCTGGCAGTCTCCGGTTACAAACTCTCCAAGGCAGGGATCTGTGTTTGTGCAGCACCTAACACCGTGGGGCCCGGATCAGACCCTCTGGACACTACTGCAATACAAATAAAAACCCAACCACAACGGGGAACATTTTCCAAACTCCCAAAGGGAGTTAGGCACCTAAATACCTTTGTGGATGTGGGCTGATTCGTTAGGTTCCTAAATACCTTTTTTAAACACCTGGCCCTTTGAAAAGGGGGAGCTGGGATCTTACCTCGAAGCAGATGGCTCCGTTCCGGTCCACATCAAAGGCGTTGAACAGGAAGTGGGCGTACATGCTGGCGTCTGCAAGAGGAGAAACAAGAGAGACTCAGTGAAAGGGTTGGCACTTTCCTCCCCACCCCCGCCATCCTCGACCTCACACTCTTTAAACACATTTACCGTCACGCCCCCGGGAGGCTGGTTCTCCCCATTGTACAGAGGGGAAACTGAGGCACAGACAGGCCCAAGGTCACACAAGAAGTCTGTGGCAGAGCAAGGAATGGAACCCAAGTTTCCCACGGGCCCTAAGCATTGGACCGTCCTGCCTCTTAGCTGCTGCCAGTGTGGAAAAGGGTAAGGGTAATCTCACAGCACAGTGAGGGTGACCGGGGAGCTCGCGTCCTCTGATCCCAGCGCGGACTGAGGCAGGGGGCTAGGATCATTATTTCACTAGCAATGGGAACTGACTTGTAAAGCTACGGCTATTTGGGGCGGGGACCATCTCTGCATTATCCAAGGGTACCGCACCTAGCACAATGGACTTCTACACACTGCAAAACACCAGTGCCTTTAACACCCCCGGGCTGCTTTATCCCCTGCTCAGGCCAGGCGAGGGGCTAGCCACAGTGCTCAGCTGGCTCCTGGGGCCCAGCCTCAGCGGAAGAACTCAGGAACTTTGCAGACGAGAGTCTCCTCACAATGGGACATCGGCAACGTTGTGACAGGGAATCTGCAGCCTGGGATAAAGGCTCTGAGCTCCTGGTGCCTCGCTAGATAATTTAACCCTTTCCCTGCTCTGGGAAGGTCTCGGGGGGGGGGGGACTGGTGCCAAACTCACCTCCCTGAGGGAAGAACTGAGCATAGATCAGCTTGAAGGTGTCTTCATCTACCAGGCCGCTGGGGCATTCCTACGGAGGGAAGTCATCGCCAGGAGGTTAGCCCCCTATTGGTCTGACCATCACCCTCCCCACAGATCAGGCACCGAGATGTAGCCGGACTGGCCGGGAACACGACTCCCCTCTCGCCCCATGGCTCTGCCATGCAACAAGCATCTGCCCTGCAATGCACCCAGGACATCCGTCCTCCTAGGGCATACGAACATAAGAACGGCCCTACTGGGTCCATCTAGCCCAGTATCCTGTCTTCCAACAGTGGCCAGTGGCCAGTGCCAGGTGCCCCAGAGGGAATGAACAGAACAGGGGATCATCAAGTGATCCATCCCCTGTTGCCCATTCCCAGCTTCTGGCAAACAGAGGCTAGGGACACCATTCCTGCCCATCCTGGCTAATAGCCATTGATGGATCGATCCTCCATGAACTTATCTAGTTTTTTTTTTAACCCTGTTATAGTCTTGGCCTTCACAACATCCTCTGGCAGGGAGTTCCACAGGTTGGCTGTGCGTTGTGTGAAGAAATACTTCCTTTTATTTTTCTCTGCTCTTACGCTCCCTCCTCGAACCCTGGCCCCCATGCACCTCGGTATTTGTGGCCTCCTCTCATCCCACTGCACCGCCTCTCCCCAGCGATACGCCCACCCCATCCCAGTGGTGACAGACGTCTCGGCACGTAGCTTAATGCACGGCTGGAAGGCGCTCGGGAATGACGGTGATGAACGCGGTAGAAAAACCTACCTAAAAGGAACAGAACCCCCAGCCAAGCACACTCATGATCGGTGGCTCAGGTCTGTAATACACCCTCCTCCCTCCCCGCCATCCACTCCGTTCTCAGCCTGTGTCCCCCAGGGTCTGCCTATGCCGCAGGCAGAGGTGTGATGGCAGCAAGTGCAGACGTCCCCGCGGTAGCTTTGATCATGCGGAGTAACGATAGCAGCGAAGCCACAGCAGGACAGGGGGTGGCTGCCCAAGGACACAACCAGGGAGCGGGCAGGACGAGCCCGCGTAGCTGCCTGTGCTTTTGCTACTCGATCTCAGCTAGCTGGAGGATATCTACAGGGGCTGTAATCACTCCCGAATGTAGTGTCGACGTAGCCTGAGTGTTCTCACATTGCAGTAGGAATGCCCTTCACCCCATCATGCCCCGCTCCTCAGCTCAGTGAGCAGGGGATGAACAGGGCACAGGCCAAAAACACTCCATCTTCTATCAGATCTGTTAACATCTCGCCCTCCACGCTTCAGTTGGACTTAAATGGTGCCTCGGCCTTGTGCGCGCACTCGGCACCGGGATGAATTTCACCCATGGCTCCCTGAGCCCCCAAGGCTGCATCTCAGCGAGCGCCCGTCTCTCCAGGGTTCGGTTTCCAATCTCGTAGGGGTAGCAGATGGAGCCCGACAGAGGCCACAAGGCACAGCTGTTCTCAGGGATCATTTGGCTGGGGGAAGGACCCAACAGACACTCACGTTCTTGAAGCCCCTGTACAGGGACTGCAGCTCCTTCTTGGTGAATTTGGTCAGCTCCTGCAGCTGGTCTAGCCCTTCTGGCTGGTGCCGGACAGATGAAAGTTCGAGGTCGCTGTCGCTAGTGTCTGGAATGACACAAGAGAAACTCTGTGAGCAAGCAGGAAGGGAGACACAGACTCCCAAAGTCCAACCCCATGTAGTCCTAAGGATTAATCTGCTTGCTTGCATAGATATATCTTTTCTTATAAGTTTAAGTATTTGATTTATTGTAACAGGTTTATAGATTTATATTCAAAATAAGTTTGGCTGTAATGCAAGAGCCCTACAGGCAAAAACACCTGCATGTTAAGCTAAAGCAAAGTTAGTATCTCTATATTGGGCCCTTTTACCTAGAAAGTAGAGTTGACCTTTATCTTGTTTATCCTATACCCAAATAGATAAAGTACCTACGCCTATGTCTAAGACCTTTACCTAGACCGATAGACAATGAAGATTGGCATAGGGGGATTTTTCAAAGTTGTACCCACAGACTTAACAAGTACACCACAAGGGCGCATGTACCTGTCATCCATATGCACATACATATTAGCCTATGGGGTAAGTGTACCCTAACATTTCTGTGGGGGAGGAATGAAACTTGGGCATAAGAGGAAGGATTTCCGGGACTTATTCCTTATAAAAGAGGTGATCTACGATGGCTATTTCACTCTTTTCATTCTATCTTCACTCTTCACTATCTTCATCTTCAACTACATATTGCTGCTATCCATCTACGATGGCTATTAACTATTAACAGGCCGTACTTATCTTCTTTTCAAACTTTCGACTAGCTTGGTCTCCCTAAACTTTGTTCTCAGTTTGTGTATTATGTTTTGTTTTAACTAAGTTAGAGAGTAAATTCTAACGTAGCTTTGATAGATCTTCGCATTAGCTTCCTCTGCACACCTCTGCAAAGGGCGCGAAACCGGAACTGCCAGAGGCGAGGTCCTGTGTCTTTCAGCACCAGGGGATCAAAACCGGGTGTGAGTATTAACCACAGTTTGCAGCACATAATATTGTATTGCCCTATGTATCTCTTGAATAACAGCAATACAATTGTAACTTTTTAACTCTGACTCTTTTACCATTTGCTTACTATTTCATTGATCTTAATAAAAAGTCTTTATGACTATAGTTGTCTGAATGTGAGCTTCCTGTCATACCCCTGAGGGTCCCTTATAAATTCTGTGGAGCCTGATTCGGGACAAGAACTTTAATCTTCTGATCAAACAGACTGGCGAGCCTAAACCCATACTAATTAATATTAATACTTAATTATTATTAATATTAATTAAATTAAAATAAAATTAAGTTGATACATTAAATCAACATTACTAACACACCCCAAATCAGGCTACACCCAGCACAGCAGGGAATAAGGAATATTCTTGTGTTGGAGAGGGTTATTGGTTGCCAGCAATCAGGTGTTTGATCTACGTATTATTTATTAATTATGATGATGATGATGATGATGATTAGATCTATGGGCAATCACAGACCTTGCTGAAGCTGCATGCTATCCATCTTTCATTCAGGCTAAATGAGGGAGCAATTAAATACCCATCTGTTTAGTGATAGCTGAAGCTATGGAAGTCACTGCCCAAGGCACTGGGCTGCATTGGAAGGCTTGAGCAAGAACTAACTCGAGGAAAATAAGAGGGGTTTCCCTGGGGACTGATTGCAAACCCAGCAGCTGGGGCATTGATTTGGTTGCAGCTGTGTGTGTGTATGCGTGTAAGGAACCAGAGAAAGCCAGCAGAAAGCAAGAGATGCACTGTCAGCGAGGCCCTGGGAGGTAGCCGAGAGAGAGAGCTTTTTCCGGGCAGAGTGCTGGCTGGAAAGGCAGGCTTGGAAACTGTGAGCAAGGAAACTGACTGCTGTTGTTTGCTCCTACTGCCTTCAGGGAAACAGGACTTTGTGCTCATTCTTCGAAATAAACAGGTTTGCACCACAGAAATGCCTGACTCCCATCACCAATTTCTCCTCCTAATGGAAACAGCCTAGCAAAGCCCCAGATACTGACTCACCACTCAGGCCAAAGGACACCAATACACAGACCCACTGTGCACAGGAGTCATATAGACCTGCCAGTCCAGGGAAGCAGGGGACTCCAGAGAAGCACCCCATAGGTGAGGGGTAAGCATCAACGCTGCCGGTTTGGTCTGCGTAGGGCTGCTAGCCGGTCTCCTCAGCCCAGGAAGGATTCAACACCATGGCAAAGCCTCCTGCAGCCCCTTCCTTCAGGGCACCATTTATTAATTCAAACAGAAAAATTACAAAGAAAAACAAAGCTATTCCCCTGATCGACACAGGCTGCAGGCCCAGATGCCTTTCACTCAGAACCTCTCTCTGCTCCAGGGCCAGCCACAGGTGCCACCCTCCCTCCTGCAGCTTCTGCACTCACCTGAGCTCTTTACAGCTGGGTCTGATAATTGAACAGGACTGGTTGGTCCTAGGCCCCTGGTCCTTAAAGGAGAAGACCATTCTCGAAAAATCCATGCCTCTGAGCCCCATAGTGACACCGACCTAACCCCTGGTGCAGATGCAGCAAGGTCAATGAAAGAATGCTTCATAAACCTAGCTATCATTGCTCGGGGAGGTGGTTTTTCTACAGTGATGGAAAATCCCCTTCTGTCGCCGCAGGATGCGTCTATACTAGGGGGTGATGCTGGCTTAACTATGCACCGTAGCTATGCTGCCACAGCCCCGGTAGTGGAAACAATCCTGGAGGGAGACAGGGAAGCAGACCCAGCCTGAGAGCATCGTAATGTGGCCCTGAGATAAAGCTAAGAGAAAAAGCTTTTTGGGCACAGAGTGTTGGCTGGAAAGGCAGGCTTGGGACTGCGAACAAAGGAGACGTCTCCTGTGATTGGATTTGTACTGCGTTCAGAGAAACAGGAGTGTGCACGTTCCTTATAAATAAACAAGACCCCATCAAAGAAAAGATCAGACTTCATCATCAGTTTCATCTCCCAACTGGAACAACTTGCAGGGCCCTGAAATCGGACAAGGCGCTTGGGTAACATTATGTTCAAGGCACAGCTGCGACTGATCCCCTGTCGCAAATTCTCCTAATTGCTCTGCAGGGCTCCTATTCCCCTATGCCTTCCACCTCCCTGCAAAACTTAACAGGATGAAAGATTAGTTCAGTCGTTCGCACAGAACTGCCCTGGCCCCAGCTCCGTATCCCAGGACAAGAACCATGAAACTTCTAGCACACACACGACCTGCCAGACTGGATCAGAACCAAGGATCAGGCCCAGTACCCTCTCACAGTGGCCAGCACCAGCTGCTCCAGAGGAAAGTGCAAGAACCTTTGCAGAAGACAGTGATGGGACAACTTGCCTCAAAGGAAAGTCACTTCTAGACCCCCCATGAGGTTGTTATGGGTTGGATGAAACCTAATTGAAACTCGGGGGGGGGGCATAACTGCCATGCTTCACTTACAATAGTTGTAAGACACCATTAAGGCTCAGATGTAGGTACTTAGCAGGGTGACCATACATACCATTTTGGCTGGGACAGTCCCTTTTTTAAGCCCTGTCCCGGCCAGCCGGACTTTTTTGGCAAAACTGGGCATTGGTCCCGTTTGCTCTTGCCAGCTGATGATCAGTGGGCAAAAGCAAATGGGACACATGCCCAGTTTTGCCAAAAAAGTGGGGAGCAACCCCTAGCAGGGCACAGAAGAACGTGCAGGGGGCGATGCCAGCCCCATGCGGGGGGCAGAGGGGAGCCTTGGGGTAGCCTCAGGTGGTGTCCCGTTTTCCCTTTTGGAAAATATGGTCACCCTAGTACTTAGGCACCTAACTCTGATTTCCTTTGAGGATCTGGGCCTGATCGCCTTTGTGGAACCAGGTGGCTGAAACAATAGCAGCTTGCACCCAAAACATAGGCACACGTGAGGGTGCTCAGGACCTTGAATTGGGGCCTTGCTGGGTATTATTTTAAGCGGGGCGGGGGGGTGTTTGTGAGACAGAGGGACAAGGAGAAAACAGGCCACAAAGACGGAGCAGAGAGCTAAGGACAAAGCCTGGAGAAGCACTGGGAAATGTGGCTCTAGAGAGGGATCTTTTGGGCAGAGTGCTGGCTGAAAGAGGCTTAGAACTATGAGCAAGGAAACAATCTCCAGTTTCATTACTGCAGTGCTCCGGGAAACAGAACTTTGTACATTCTTTGTAAATAATCGGGACTGAAAGGAGTTGACTGTGACGTTGCACTACATAATGTTTTATGGAAATATGCTTATAAGTGTGAATATAATGTAACTGGAATATGCTTTATGCAAAAGGTCTCTTGTAAGGTATCATTACAAAGCTTATAATCTACTGAGTGTGTTCATCCTATTTGTATACATGTATCGTTCTTGTATCTGAAGATAGAAATATGAAGTATAACTCTGAGGTCCTATTGTAATTATGCCAAGTGTGGGCCATTAATGGTGGTTTATAATCTTGATGGCTCCCATTAACTAGGACAATTGGTTGTAAATGGTTTATTTACCTGCAAGCCTTCCTGTGTGCCTGTGGGCCAGCGCGTGGGTAATGAAGAATGAGGTCTCACAGGACATGTGAAAATGTCACATGATACTGGAATACATCTTAAATCTGGTACTTTTCCATTTAGAAGGAGGGATGGGGACCCAGAGAGACAAAAGATTCCCGCCTTGTGCCAAAGCTATAAAAGGGGGTGGAACAGAGCAAAGGGAGCTGCAGTCATGAGAACACCCCTGCTTTCCACCTAAGATGTCTGCTGGAACTAACAAGAACTGTACCGGGGAAAGGATTGGGCCCAGACTAGGATGAAATCTAGTCTGTGAAAGAAGCTTATTGGAACATCTCTGAGGGTGAGATTTTACCTGTAATCAGTTTCTTAATGTATTAGGCTTAGACTTGTGCGTTTTTGCTGTATTTTGCTTGGTAACTTACTTATTACTTGAAACCACTTAAATCCTACTTTTTATACTTTAAAAAATCACTTTTGTTTATTAATTAACTCAGAGTAAGTGATTAATACCTGGGGGAGCAAACACCTGTGCATATCTCTCTATCAGTGTTATAGAAGGCAGACAATTTATGATTTTACCCTG